AAAAAAATGAGAAAACAACAAAATTACTAAAACATTAACCAACATGAAAATTCTAATAAAAATAAAACCTGATTTGAAATATCAATAAAAACTCAGTGATACTAAAATAAGACCAGTCAATAGCCAGAAATATATATATATGTAGAAAATGTTGTCTAAAATCAGGTGAAATGACATATGAACAAACCTCTGTAAATCTCTTCAGAATATCGATAGCCTAAAAGTGTAAGTGCGACTTTAGTTAAAATCTCGCTCAGTGAAGGAAAACATTTTTTGGCCTTTAAAACCATGTAATTAAAATCTGCAGAAGCAAATAGATAAAGTGTAATAAATAAAATCTTAAAAGTGTATTTTGGATGTTTTCTTAGCAGCAAACGACACGTTATGATAATCCATCTACATCTAGATTTTTTTTTTTGTATGTCCAGTCTTGCCTTAAAATAAAATAAAATAAAAGAATTGAAACGCGGTAACTTCATTCGGCGCAGTCCGGCAGACTCCTCCCCCTCGACCGCAGCCCCGCCCACGACGCGCCATCAGCTCTGCTGTGCGCTGCTTCCCGCAGACCCGCCTGCTCAGCGCGCGCAGTCCTCTGAGAGAGAGAGTGAGAGAGAGAGAGCTCCAGCTTCAGGGCCGAACACTGAGGTGTCAGCGCATCCGGACACAGGGCAGCCATGGCCCTGCTCGATCTCGCCCTGCAAGGCTTCTCCATCTTCGGCTTCCTCTTGTTCATCGTGCTCTGGCTCATGCACCTCGTGTCCATCATCTACGTGTGAGTGAATGCGGCATCATGGATTTGAGAGAGACCATCAAACGCTTCATTTATTTTTAGCGACGCTGATCGCGAGCTTGCAGCGTAGCCAGATTCGTTGATTGTAACGGGAGCGTTGTGGTGTGTCGCGTCGCGTCGCTGCGTTCAGTGCAGATGGGGTCTGGCTAACAGGGGGTTCCTCTTCGGCTAAGTTACCGCGTGAAAACATATTTAACGTTATATCTATCAGAATGTGCATTTTGCTAGCACAGCTGGCTCGGGGTACATTCATATTAATAATATGTCAATCATACACGCATTAGCCTCCGGCTAGTCTTACATTAATCTCGTTTCTTATCGCTAGCGATGATGGTTAGCATAGCTACTGCGCACGGTTCTTGTTGTTTTTATTCGTTACTTTACGAAGTCTAATGGGTTTTTAATCACTCGGGGGTTCATTTTCGGGGTACATTCATATTAATAATATGTCAATCATACACGCATTAGCCTCCGGCTAGTCTTACATTAATCTCGTTTCTTATCGCTAGCGATGATGGTTAGCATAGCTACTGCGCACGGTTCTTGTTGTTTTTATTCGTTACTTTACGAAGTCTAATGGGTTTTTAATCACTCGGGGGTTCATTTCTCGGGGAGCTTTTATTAATTGTCTGTGGTGGGAGTCAAAACTACTTTAATTAGCTTCTCCAGCAACCGGCTTTCAGGGATTAAATGGAATATGTTTATATATTATAATGGTTTTGTTTGGGCAAGTCATGTTTACAAAGCCTGTCGTTCACCAGCACGGTTTTCAATGAAGTTAACCAATGCTCATGATTTATAACATATCACCTCCAGTTTATTACCCAGTATCATATCTAATTTATTTCCTATCTTTTAACATCTTTCAGTAATCAGGTTACATACACACACATATATATATATGTATGTATATGTATGTGTGTGTATATATGTATATATA